GGGATTCCATCACCAGACCCCACCTTGTGATCCTATTGTCTCACTCATCTTCCACATGGTTCTGACCCACCTCATAATCCTATTTGACCCCACCTCAAAATCCTATCTGACCCTACTTCATGATCCTATTGTTTGATTCCTCTTCCACATGGTTCACTGACTCAACTGCATGGTTTGCTGTCTATTGCATGATGAACTTGCTACCTCTGTTACAAACCACGGTTCTTATGACCAATACTGCTTACAGTTGTAGTAGTATATATACAGCCTAGTTTCCATCTTGTACTTCAGTTTGGAAATCAATTGTTATAGTACTCTTTCCTTGAGCACTACCTGGGTCTTCCCTTCAAGTCAACTCACTCATTCATCTGGCCCTTCACTTCACTTCATCTCCCTCGTGTTGCGGTCCGCAAGCCGGGTAGTCGCACACTCTCTGTAGTGCCTGTGAGACAACCATTGTAGCCCCTCGGACCTCCATCCTTCCTCCCTTCGGAGTCCCAAGCGCCCACGTGACTCAGCATTTAACATCAGCACATTGTATTAGTTATGTGTAGTGTGTTGGTTGGTTTAGTGTGATTCACCTCAGAGTTTCTATCCGAGTCTAGCTACATTTCCAGCCTATATGTTAGTGCACCGTTTCACTGAGAGTTCAGAAATTGGAAGTCAGAATAAACTCAGAAGCAAGATAAATAGTCAAGAACATTAATAATCAAACTGAAGTACTGCACATAAATGCGGAATATTTAAGTCATAATTAGGTACGGCTGTAAAGTCCATTTCCTAATTAAGTAATCTGGGACAGTTGAAGCAAGGCATATCTAATGCGGGGCAGCAAAGGTCTATGGAAATTTTTAAATTAAAGTAGTCCATGACAATGGTGAGACCTGTAGTGTTGAAGCAAGCCAGGAGATCACTTGACAAAAAGGGCAAGTGGTTCATCTCTAAGCAAGATGTGCTAACTGTGTCCCCAGCACTGGGCATAGATATCATCCTAGTTGAGCTCCTCCTCAACAGTTGTGGTAACAGTGATAAGATGCTTGAGCTCTACCTGGAACTGGTGGTGGAGCTGCAGCAAGAGAGCAACATTGCACAAGTGAGTGGTCTCGCTGATGGGTTTCCAGCTCTAACACCTGATAGCTAGCTCCACATCTACAACACAATTAGTGTAATTTATTTGCAACTGATAAGACCTACAAGTTAATGATCCACTCATGATGTCTTCTGATATGCTTTCCATTGTTCCAGGACAAGTTTGTCCAAATTCAATACCTTGTGTCAAAGGTCAGTATTCAACCACACTGGTCAGCACAAGAAAACATACTGGTGTAAGGATGGCTATCCTCACACAACACCCATCAGTGGCTATGGACACAGCATCGGGATCTTTTACTATTTAAGACGACATCTTTATTTCCTTCTTTACGCTTACACCCACCAACTACCCATCTTGTATCTCCCAACAGTTGCTGCAGACCAAGTGTCTCGCCATTGGAATATACCGTGGTCCTGTCTGTTAGCGTGACTTGTCAGTGTTTGGGCCCATGGCCTGTAGACAACTTCAGTTTGTGGGATGATCTTGTGCAGAACTCTCACCTCTTTGGCCTCAAGCATGGCATCTTTGAAGTTGGGGCAGGATGATTTCCTACCATGGATATCCACTTCCTTCTGGGTTGCGCGGTCAATAATGGTTACCGCTGTCAAGCAGAATGGTGCTAGGATTAGAGTCCTCAACATTGGCCAGATGGTTCCTGCACCTTGGTTGCAAGGGCATCTGACCACTGCGCAGTTATCAGTGGTTGCCTGCTATGAAAGAATGAGCATAACTTGCCAATGACAGTGGATAGAAGTTATGTCAGCAAAAACTTGTTAGACTTGTTTGACTTTGAGTGTAATTTCTTGTGAATAATCTTGTATGTGTTTCTGTGAGAGATGGAAGAACTGGTGTTCATAATGAGTAGCTTGCCCTGCAAGTTGGTACAGGCCATATACCAAAGTGAAACTGTCCAAAATTTCCTGGAGTATGTGCATCTCACTTAAGTTGAACACTGCTGCGTGGAAATGTGGGCTTGCCTTGGGGGGCTTTAGTAGGGGTTGTAGCTTCTTGACTCTGTGGAGCAAGTCAGTGACCAGAGGTCCAGAGATGATGTTGCAATCGCTCACAATTTAGGGCACACAGTTATACCAGACTATTTGCAGAACCAGTGATAATGAGTGCACATTGATTGTGGGTCAATGGTCCATGGCCATACCCAGCCCTGACAACATAAAATTCCTCTGAAAGGGAATCAGAAATGATCAGAAAATAAAGACAGTCCTGACCCAATAGAGAGATCAAAATGCCCATAACACCCCCAGGCCTCATGCTCCCACTGGTGAGGACCATTTGTATTGGATGGACTTCAAAACTGAATGCCTCCACGAAATCAAATAAGAATCTTAGGAGGAGTGGGGTAACAGCATAACAACTGTTTTGTTTGTGTGATTTATGATCCATGGTTTTCTGCAACCGCTTGTGTGTGATGCCAATGAGAGAGGCTAGCTGGACGAGACACTCGCTCTGGATATACAATCAAGGCCCAGTTGATTAAGAGATCAAGAAGCAGCTTATATTGCCCTTGGCCCCGTCCTGTGGAGGCCAGCAGGAGAATGTAGCTTACAATTTTAGCCAGATATTAAACATCCACTACAAGAGCTTACACATGGGTCAGCCTCGTCTTCTTCTAGCTCTTCTGAACACTCACCATCTGACTGAGCATTATCATCTTGATCCTCATCAGCCTCTGCCTGATCATGCTTATTAGATCCAAGGTGTAACAGCTCTTATACCACTTCCCAGTCTGTTGGGGTGTGTCATAGGGATAGAACACAGTGGGCAATGGAAGATCTTCAGTTCACCAGCAATCACCCCATTGACGCCATCTTCTGCTTCAGCAGAAGTGGTGTGGCACGAGGATGAGTCCATCCTTGACTGGGGTGAGGGTTGCTTGGGCACCTACCAGATGCAGGGGCAAGACCTGCCTTGGACTCAACCACCCCTAAGCCAGAGGCACCTGTGTGGACACAACTATGCTTAGGGGTGGGGGGCTCACTTGCTGAGTCTGGGGAAGAGGCGCACTTGAGGGGATTCTGGCTAATGATTAGCACAGGGGTGGTTCTTCCAAACATTGTATACCAGGCCCAATTGTGCTGCAACTTTGGCACATATCTGCCTCATTTGCAAGACATGGGCATGCCAATGCTAGGCCTCCTGTTCACCCATAAGCAATGGCATGGACCGGATGCAAATGGGCTCACCTGGCTGTTGAGGTTGACCAGGGCCAGCTTGAGGTCGGCTTGGGAGCCTGGGGAGAAGGAGGTAGTGGGCAGGGTAGATGTTAAGGATACAGGTGAAGACAGCACAGATACAGGCAAAGTGTTTGCTGGCAGGGTCCTGATGTGCAACCCAGAAGGTGTACTTGGCAGGATGTGCATCTTGGACAGGCGGGGTCACACCTCTGGCGAAGTGACTGCCACAAATCAGATGTGGAAATAGCAACAAGTGGAAAGAGACCTATGACTTGATTCATTTATTATTTGTCTGTCAATGCTGAGTGCTATTGGAGATGTGCTTAAATCAAGCCTTTTCACCTTCCAATGTCCCCTGGAATATGAACAGATCTATTTGCTTCAGTACTGGAACAATTTGTGAAGTGCTCATGCAGGCTGAATTCTGCTCCTGGGGGGTTCTTCAGACCTTACTTATCTCCACTGCCTATATTGTCTAACCCTCTTTCTCTGATATGGTTGACAAAGGCGCTCAAGGTTGATTATGATTAAAAAATTCCTCTGCACACAACATGGCCAACTGGTTTAAAATGTATTATTTAACATGGATGTGTGACGGAGTGCCATTAAGAATTGCACAGATATTCTGAGAATGAATGGCCATAGTGTTTTAAGCTTGAAAGATGTTACACAAGAAGATTTTTCCACAGTTGGCAAGGCTCTTTGGTAATATAATATGGACCAAGGATTGCAGCTCTTGAGACATGTACAAAAAAGATCCTAAGTCTGAACCTATGCATTGAAGGAGATCTTGAAGAGGAAGAGATTGTGATAGACACTCTGGTTACTCCATCTCTGATCTCAGTCCAGAACTCTAGCCCTTTGTCCTTCCATTGGCTTGGCATTTAACAGGCTCCCACAGCTACAAGACTGCGAAGTCTATGCTGGAAGGTGCACTGTGGTGAAAGGTACAAGGATGAGTGTGGTGTGAGACTTCAAAGAGAAGCTGCAAGGAAGATGGACAGTCAATCCGACGTATTGGGCAACACAAATACACTCTAGACAAGTAGGGGAAAACTTGTACTGGAATTGACTACTCTACAGTGCCAAAACTATGTCCCTTTTATACCCCTCAGCTGCACAGCCCTAGTTCTATAGGAATCAGACACTGGGGGCAAAGTTCCATGCATGTGGAAACCACATGCTTTAAACGCATGTGGTCCACAGGTGGTCACTATTCGCCTGTGACACCTTTGATATGGCGTTCTTTGTTGACAACAAAGCGCAGCTAAATCTGTAAATGTAATTCAGTCAGATTGTATCTAAGTAAAATAGAGGTTCAAAATATATGGCTTACATTTTTACCTGATTTTGAGCAAAAATGAACAAGAGCCGTAATGCAGCTGTGAGTTGTGATAGTGCGCGCGGACGCGTCTGGCCGGCGTTCGTGTTGATTAGTCAGCAGCTTGTACATGTTTAGACAGATTCCTTCTTGCTTTCATCCTTGCACAGCGACACTGCGGGATTAGCTAGTGACTAGCGCCAGAGGATCCGGGATCCTACCACAGAGTGAGCCACAAGTTGGCCATGAGGTAGCCCCGGATGCTGTCTTGGCACAGCTTGATGGAGAGTTGTGAGCCATCACCTTGTGATAGCTCCCGACGTGACCTCAAAACCCCGAACTCCGAGTACGCAGCTGCAGCTCGACACGAATTAAAAAGCATCCTACCCATACATGGCTCGACAGAGAATCGAACTCCGTACCCCCCCGAAAACAAAACACCTATGTAGGAATTCAGAACGTGTTACTGCTACACCACCGAGCCACGGACAACAAAAGAAATATTTTTTAACACAAATGGCTTGACAGAGAATTGAACTCCGGACTTTCCGTCGAACGATATACAAACACTGCATATAGGTACATGGAGTGCGTTACCATTATGCCACCAAGCCATTCAAGAGCCAAACTCAAATGACCACCAGGGACCAACTCTGAGTTAAAAATATTATCCGGACCCAACACATGGCTTGACAAAGAATCAAACTCCAGACTCTCCATCACACAATATGTGAACATTGCATATAGATACACGGAGTGCGTTGTGAGGGTGCTATGTACCCTACATGTGTCATGATGGACTTACCAGCACCACGCAACTTTGGGACGAAGGAATATCCAGATTGGGCTTCCTGCTTGCTGGAAATGGACACCGTCCGACCAGGCCGTTCAACCTTTCGACTATTCTTAGGGCACCGCGCAACTGTTTACTGGGGCCGAACGACCGTCCTCTCGGGCCATACATCCTGACAAAAGCACCATGACACCACGGGAGACTTGTTCTGATGGGATCGTCACCCTCACCGAATGTCCACAGGGGACATTCTTCATGGAGTTCCTTTCCTGCCCACATACCGACCTGGAGAGCATCAAATCCATGTCCAGGATGGCTCCCCCGGTCACCCACGCTTCCCACGCCTCCAGGAATCCCCGTTGTGATGCGGACTGCGGTGCTACCAGGTGAGATAAATGGCTCTTGGTTGGTTGCCTGTCCGTCAGTTCGCGGGCTGTCGGCCTGCTCGCTGTTTGTTCAATTGGGAGTGGTCTCCGAAGAGAGCACTGGCGTCAGCGAGCAATGGGATACGAACAAAAGATACTTGACTTTGCTCAATCACCACTTAAGGCGGAGCGGAGGAAGAGAGAGCACCAGCCTGTGGTGGAGGCTGCAAGGGTGTAAGTAGAATGCCCAGAGGCAAGCTTGAAATATGTGGTGGTGGTCAATGCTCTATTGAGGGAGAGTTGTACAGGTGAAGTGGGGTGTAAAACACGTCCCCAGAATTGACTGACTACAATGTCCAAAATCTGCTCCCTTTTATACCTCTCAGCTCGCACAGCCTCTAGAAACTGCCCCTGTGTGAACCCCTTCAAACCTTGGGTGCACAATGGCAGCCATGTCCAGAAATTGCGCGAAATGAGTGGAGAAAGCACTCCAAATTGAGATGTGCATCCGCTCAAACTGGGAAATTGTGAGATTTCCACCAGCCCAAGGCCAGGGGAACGTCCCTTGTTTCGCAGTTGAGCCGCAAATGGTTCGTGGACTCCTGCGAGACATCAGTGCTCCCCAAATCGAGGGTGCAAAACGGTCTGGAGAGCCCATGTTCTGTTTCATGGTGCGAGAGCCGTGAGAGCTGTACAGCCTAATGAGGCCTGCAAGCTGCGAAGTATTGGTGAATTGCTTGATGTCAATGCTGGGGAGACGCAAGACTCGAAGGGATCCCAGAAATCGGTCGATTGGATTAGAAATCCTAGTAAATCACTCGAGTAACCGCCCCTAGGCGGTATATCACACGATTTGAGAGAGCCAGGAGACCGTAATCGGGGGTCCGAGTTGTGTGTCGACATGGGGAACCAGGCAAGGCTTCCCATAGTCCAGCAAAGGGGTTTGGTGATACCATGTCCCGAGGTCAATAGGCGGACTCACCACAAATCGTGTGATTGTGCGCTGAGTATCACACCGCAAGTGGCAGGCCAACACAATACGGCATCATGCAAGGGTTGCACAATGATATACAACGCCCTCGAGTCGATTAGCAAGGTGTGGATGCTGAGGCTGGGTCGTGGGGAACCGGATGCAGTGGATTTTGGTGAATGTCCAAATGTGGAATCCCAAGTTGTCTGATTAGGCGAAATGGTGGTTGAGCTTCTTCGTCAAGTCCGGTCGATTGATGGTGGGACACGAGGGCATATGCAGAGCATATACAGCCCTCACACTGTGAGCTTGCCGAAAGGTGGTTCGTCCCAGAAGGCCGTTCACCAATTCTCCTTCCGTTACCCACCTGAAACCGTTGGACCCCGTTTCAGCCCCTCCTCATCACATAATGCACGACCCAAAGGAGGTAGGGGGAAAGGTATAAAAGGGAGACGGGAACGGACCCAGTAGTCAGTTGCTTTACCTCTGGACGCCGGTTCCCCTGCACTGTCCCACAGTGTACCTTAGTCCACACCCAATAACAACCACTCACTTGCTTCACAGCACTTTACTTCTAACCCCTTTGCAGCTTAAGACTATAAGCTCGCGCTTTATACCCTTCTCAAAGCGACCCTATCCTCCTTTGCGAGCTCACACTCTGTTGAAAGTTGATAGCTAGCCTTGGACCCATTGGCAAATTGTCGTCCCAGCCAAACATTTTACGCCTCGACACATTATCGTCCCCACCAAACAAACCCAAGGAACGGCGTCGAAGCCTTCCGCAGGAGATCGCACTTGCGTAATCCACACAACCTCCCGCTCGATCATTAGGGGGAAAAGCGAGAGAGGAAGCAAAGCAGAGACTTCATACTGAAGAGCACCAGTACTCCAACCAGATAAAGGAAGGTTACAGGCCCTCGACCGGTTTATTCACACACACTCTCTCTCTCTACGACCATCGTCCCGTTGGGACGACCACCCTCATTTATCACCACAACCCAAAGGGCGATCCAATAAACCTTGCAATCCCCTAAAAATCATACTCAGAATCCCCTAGAGGACAAACAAGCTGTTGCCAGTGTAAACTAATTCACACACCAGCACTGCAGTCCCAATCACAGTGTTACCATTACGCCACCAAAGCCATGAATCAAATGAACAAAATGCCAAATAAACCATCGTCGTGAAAAAGAATGGTTTTCACCGAATGGCTTGAGGGAGAATCAAACTCTGGACTATCCATCAAACAATATATAAATGCTATAGATCACCATGGAGCGCATTACCATTACGCCACCAAGCCGTAGGAATCGAATGACCAGCCAAAACTATTGCCATGAAATAGAAAGGTTTCCGTCATAATGGCTCAGCGGAGAATTGAACTCCGAACTCTCTGTAAAGCATACCGCGAACTACATAGGAATACGGAGTGTGATACCATTATGCCACTGAACTGTTCAAAACGTGCCGTATCTTCTTACTCGATGGACAAAAAGAACGCAAGGCCTGTCGGAGAGCCTGTTGGAGATTCAAACTCCAGTCCCTCCATTATTTCAGTTTCCCGCCAGCTACGCGAACAGAGTGCATTACCACTACGACCGGACCATGTGTACGACCGATATGGAGGTCTGATAAGTGGTGCACAAAAATGGGATGGAACAGAGGAATGGCTCGACGGAGGATCAAACTCCGGACTTTCCATAAGTCAGACACTGGGGTGAAAGGATATGGAGTGCATTTCCACTACACTATTGAGCCGTCGCAGGCGGAAGCCGGATAGGAGGAGAGTTAGGACCGGACATGGAGTGTCCGAGACTAGGGCCAACAAGTCCGGGTTGCAGAATCGGTGCCGGGCTGAAGATGGTGCAGGTAAGGGTTCACAGAGTTCTAGAATGAGTCATAAGCGAACTCCGGGGCGGAGGAGCGTGTGAGCGAGCAGGTATGGGACACAAAGGAACAACTCCGGCACAGCCTTGGGCTGGGGTATAAATACTACAGCTAGTCTACCAAAATATCATCTCAGTTTCAGCCCACATCCTCACCTTCTAAGCCTTAGCCAGCTTAGGAGTAGCTAGATATCTGCCCCGAACATCACCTAGAGGTCACCCGGAGTCGAGTTACACAGTAAAGCGACCCCAGTACTCCCTCGCTGCCATCAGACAACGAACGGAGTTTATATTTCGGCATAAAAAGTTCAGCGCCGGAGAAATCGAACTGTTTATTCCTCCCCTACGCAAGTAGGGCAGTGAAATCTCTCAAACAGCACAACGAGGTCTTCGGAGTTCGTGTGTAGCTGCTAGCTAAGGAAGTTGGTGGTGCAGAGCCCGCAGGAAGTCGCCTTCAGCAAGCGAACGGGTGAGAAGTAGAGAGAGGAAACTCCGTAGAGGCACAAAGAGGGGTAAAAGGAGGAGAAAATTGCAGGAACGATACCGCAGACACACAACTCCCCCGGTCTTACGATCTACAACTTAAATATACTTTGGACGATTGTGGTTCATGGTCCAAGAAGCCCTTAAAACCCCATATTTCACCCCAGACTTAACGAATTGGATCCCGCATCGCCTTCCAGAGTTCCTCCTCTGAGGAAGTGTAGAACAGATTCAACCTCTGTTAGCCCGAGAAGGCTAACTAGGCATCGGAGTTCGCTCGGTTCACCCTAGCTAGTAGGATTTTGAATGAACTGTTCAAATCCTTGTAATGGATATCCCCACCAATATTATTTAAAACATAGCCTGGATCTCCCCACCATCTGGCAGTTTGAAGCACCGCAGTCCGCATCACAGCGTGCCAAGCCCACATGAGCAGACGCGCCCTTGTGACAAGCCAGAGCCATGCTCGATGTCACGCTCTCACTTGTCCCGCCCATTGCTGGTGTTCTGCAGTTGCCCGCCCAGCTTGGGAGACCCTGTCGCGGTTTATGTGCAGGTCCTTTGTGCAGTTGCCATGATGTTCACATGTTGCCTTTGTTGGCATGCAATCACCCGTGGGTGTTGTCTTTGCTGAGCTACAACTGTCCCTGCATGTCGCCTTTGTTGGATTTAGAGTAGTTGCACAGTGACCCTCTGCAAACACGCAGAGGTTTCTATTCAAAAACTATGCTACTTATACAAGATAGTCGAGTCATGTGTACCTAAGGAGATATGTAAAGTACATGAGTATGAGTCTGTATGATTCAGTAGGTGAGTCAGTAAGAGTTGGTACAGAGAGGACGAGTCAGAAACACTCAGAGCATTCCGGCAAATGAGGCCTGGGTGCCGGTGCTTTGGTTGTTCTTCCAACAGCCTTTGTTGGTGTACCACCCCACCCGCATGTTGCCTTTGTTGGCACACTATGGCCATTGTACGTTGCCTTTGTCAGGCTACGACCACATCTGCACGTCACTTGGGTTGGCATGCACCCACGGCTTTTTCCTTGGGGTGGCCTGCCATTGCCACTCCTTTGTCTGCCCAAACACCTGCCAGCCAGCCAGCCTTTGTCAGCTCTGCTCCCCACGTGAATCCTGTTTCACCCCACCCGTATGTTGCCTTTGTCAGCGTATTACAACCCCCGTATGTCGTCTTTGTCAGGATATGATTGTGTCTGCATGACACCTTGGTCGGCACGTGCCCATGGCTTTTTCCATGGGGCGGCCCGCTGTTACATGCATAAAAATGTGTGTAATTATAGTCCAGAAGCCTATGACAGAATTAACCTGTCATTGTGGCCTTTTGGCTCAGTTGGTAACAATGCTAGCTTCCGCACACATTACATAACACCCGCCTTCTCCACCCCTTTGTCTGCCCAAAACACCTTCTTACCTTTGTCAGCCCCACTGCTCACATGCAGCCTGCCCCACCTCCCATGTGAAGCCGCTGCAGGTGTGTTTGGTTGTGGGTGGGCAGGGCCAGTAGCAGGGGCAGTTGACTGCTCTCAACAATCTCAGGACGTATGTGGACTGTCTGCCATGCAGATGACAACTTGCTGGATAGCCAACCAGGGGCTGTAACAATTTATCACACTATTGATATGAGGCACTCACTCATCTATTTCTTCATATGCAGTGTTACTGATGTCTTTTATCTCTTCTATAAGCTTCAGACTGTCATGATTAGCACTGAGATCTCCCACAATCAACCAAGGCATAGTCAGATCTGGTAGTCTCCCCGAGTGGCGACTCCAGGTCAACTTGGATGTTGATATGTTAATGCCAGACTTTGAGTTCAAGGGGGTGACATATTTCAAGAATAGGGGTGCTAAAGGAAGTCAGCATCGTCCAAACTGCCATTGCAAAACAAATGAACTGAAGGGCATAAAAAAATATCAGTGGACCTTGTGATACCATTGAGATCTGTCAGCGTATAACACCAGAGTCAAGGCATGCACAACCCTGTCCAACAACTCCAGTGTCCATTGGGGTATGTGCTGCTGCATATGGTTCATATTCAAAGTAATCTTCTTGTCCATTGGGATTGGGGGTAGGATGACATCTATATGTTTATTAGTGGATGGTCTTTCTCTTAGAAGACAATGTATGGGGTACCAGTACATTTCGCACTTGAATCCTGCCTTCTGTCATGACCAACACTACTGCTCCTGAGGTCGAGTTGTGTGTAGCCCAAGGAGTGTAGTGTTCAAATGGAAAGGCTCTTTGAAACTTTTGTAGTAGAGTACTGTGGATGTGGTTGGACTGGATTTGCCCGCATAGAGCATGCAGGGCTGCCAATGTCTGCTTGATGGCAGGAATGATGGGCGCAGCGGAGTCGGGACCATTCAGCAGGTCGTGGTGAACCACGCCAGCTGTGGTTAATGAGCCAAACCAGTATGCATGCTGCACGGGGTCTGACATGTCCCAGACTTTGTCCCATGTAGAAAACTCCCACTCGGCCTTTCATGGCTTAAGCTGCATGGACCAGGTCAGAAGGATCTTTCCACCCCTGATGTCCAGATAGAGGTACGGTCTTTCATGGAGTTGAATTTTTGTGGCAAGGAGCATCTCTGGGGTAAATGAAGGTGTCGATGCCTGAGGCTTGTCAACTTCTGGTTGAGCTGCATATTGTTTGTCCAAGAATTGAATGAATGGCTGAACTGCGGCTTCATGCCAGATGGCATTGAAATGCTGCTGTATCCAGGTTTCCAGAGGCTCTGTCCAAATGGGTGATCAGCCAAAGGCCAAAGTTGGTGAGAGTGACGGCATGACTTACCCTCTGGGGTTCCATCAGGGCAATGCTCAAGGGATTTGGCTGGTACAAGGCCAGGCAGCAGATTACTTGTGCCTCTGGGCGAAGACATTATATATATCCAGGCAAGAAAGAAAAGTTTGAACTTGAAAAGATGTGTGTTACATGCTGTCACTGTCACTGTCACATTCAAGTTGAAACTTTGTCTTGCTCCCAAATGTCATCTCTTGAGATTAGCAAGGGCCCAGACAATGTCTTCATAGTGAAGGTGGTCAGCTCTTTCCCTGTGTCTGATCATCGATCTGACGATGAAGGGATTGTGTGAGTGGCTCTCACTGGCCACCGTCTCCTGTATTAAATGGCAGCCACAGGGATGAGATAGCAACCGACTGTGAAAAGCTTTGGAGGGCAATCCTTGTCACAGACTGCATCTTGTCTGATATGATTATTACCTCCAAACAGATCACATGTCGTCTGGAGTGTGAGCTACCCAAATTGAAACATACAACACAATCATGGGACCCTGTTATTGAACATCTATCAGATACTGAGGTAGCAGACTGTCTGACCACTGATGACCTAAATCTCCTAACTGGTGTCTGCATTGTGATCCTGGCTGCATCTGGAGATCCAGCTGTTGCACTCATCTGTGTATGATTCTGCCTTCCATCTGTCGCCCTGATATCAACTAATTCCAAGATCTAACAGCTCCGTTATGCGAGGATGATGTTATATTTGTGCAGCTTCTGAGCTATTCTGAGCTATTCTGAGCTTTTCCGAGGCTCCGAGGTTTCCGGGATCTTCTGAGGTCTTTGGGATCTTCCGAGATTTCGGGCTTCTGGGTTTTTACGCAATGAAGGCTTACTGAGCGTTTCCTGTTCATTCATCTTTTACTTCATCTTATTTACTCATTTGCGGTCTTCGCCGCTCCGCATTCTATATCCTTGCTTTGACCGTTTAGGATTACCTAATTGGGAATTTGGACTTTACGGCCGTACATAATTATTACTTTGTATAAATATTCCGTACACTTGTACTGTGTACTACACTATCTGGAAAATTATTAAGTTGTTCCATGCTTCCACTCATGGACTGAGTCCTCCTTTGTCTTCATCTTCACCTCGACTCCGGATCTATATTTAGATCT